GGATGGGGGTGGAGGCGGCGAGTCTCAGAGGGGAGGGAAGCACTGTGCGGAGGTGTCGGCTCAGGGCCGGTTCTGAGACCTGCTGTGTCCCCCGTCCCTGACTGCTGCTGATCCCCTCTCGTCCCCAAGACCAAGCTGCTGACCCAGTACGTGCTGAGTCTGGCCAAGTACGACCAGAACTATGACATCCGCGACCGCGCCCGCTTCACCCGGCAGCTCATTGTCCCCTCCGAGCAGGGCGGGGCCCTCAGCCGCCATGCCAAGAAGCTCTTCCTGGCGCCCAAACCAGCCCCCGTCCTGGAGTCATGCTTCAAAGGTGGGAGCTGAAATCTGAAGTCCGGAGGACTTCCCGGGGCAGGGTGAGGACTGGCCCGGAAGGACCCTCATCCCAGAGCTGCCCCCGAGGCCGAGGCCCCCGTCTCAGCCAGGCACTGGGCTTTGTGGGCAGCATTTCTGTCATTCCACCTGCTTCCACCCCTCAGCCCTGCTCTGGGTGGGCCACACAACCTTTCTTTCTAGCAGGTGGGCCTGAGGGTGCAGTCGGGGTGGAAGAGCCATTAAGGGGCACCTCCAGCTAGGACATTGCCCCCCTCCCCAGTCACCACCTAGGAAACAATTCCCAGGGCAGTGCCTCACAGCCGCCCTGGCCTGACCTCTAACCCTGTCCCCAGACCGGGACCACTTCCAGCTGGGCTCCCTGTCCCACCTGCTCAATGCCAAGGCCACGGGCTACCAGGAGCTCCCAGACTGGCCGGAGGAAGCCCCGGACCCATCTGTGCGCAACGTGGAGGTCAGTGGCGGGGCCGAGGGTTGAATTACGCAGGTGGAGGGACAGACGGCAGGGAGCCCCGGTGTCTCAAGTGCTGGCCCGGCTCCCCTGACACCCTCCTCACACACAGGAGGAAGATCTCTCCCTTATTGAGACCCACGTGGGCCTGTTGGGCGAATACACCGAGGTCCCCAACCCCGTGTGCCGTGTGCCCTCTGCTCGGCTTGCAGTGCCCCCCCTGTGCTGCACCCCTCCCCTCCCCTGTTTCTCCCTTGGTTTGGCAGTGCCCCCTCTGTGAGCAGCAGCCCTTCCGCTCCAGGGGCAGGACCAGGGGCTAGAACAGAGTGGCAAGGCCCCTCCCCAGCCACGATTTAACAGCCTTCCCGCCTGCCCCTCCTCCAGGTACCTGAGTGGACCAAGTGTTCAAATCGTGAGAAGAGAAAGGAAAAAGAGAAACCCTTCTACTCGGACTCCGAGGGAGAGTCGGGCCCCACAGAGTCCGCGGACAGTGGTGAGAGGGAGAGCGGGGCCCTGGGCTGCCCACGCGTGTGTGTGCGTGTGCGTGCGTGTGTGCATGTGATGTGGTCGTGTATCCAAGGGGGTGTGCACCTGCGTGTACCTGCCTGTGTGCTGACCCACCTGAGGGACTGCAGGCCCCAGGGCTGTGTGCGCTTAGGCAGGTCTCTGTCCCTGTGGGTCCACCTGTGCCCCAGTTGGTCCGGGTGGCATCTGGCACCGGGGTTGCAGCTTCGCCTGCGAGCCCAGGGCAGCTGCCCCGGACCCAGGAGGCCCGCGCGCAGGGAGGGGAGCCTGAGGCGGTTCCTCCGCAGACCCCGAGTCCGAGAGCGAGTCGGAGAGTAAGAGCAGCAGCGAGAGCGGCTCCGGGGAGTCGAGCAGTGAGTCTGACAACGAAGACCAGGGTGAGGAAGAGAAGGGGAGGAGCAGTGAGAGGTAAGAGATAGGTGGGGCTTGAGGGCTCCCCCGGAAAGGAAGGGCCCACACGCAGCCTGGGCCGTCTCCTAAGAGCCCCTGAGCCTCCTGAGCTGGTGGGGCCTGCAGACCCCGGGTCATCTCCTGCCGGGGCTGCTCTCCTGAGCTGCAGGAGGTCACAGGGCTGCAGCACCGGACTCCACTGGCCCAGGCTCCCTGCCTCACCCCCACTTTTTAGAAAAACCGCATTTTTATTGATTTCAGGAATGGAGGGGAGAGAGAGAAAAACTTAAACGATGAGAGTCATTGATCGGCTGCCTCCTGCTCGCCCCCTGCTGGGGATCCAGGAGCCTGTGCCCCGGGCCTGTGCCCTGACTGGGAATCGAACCGCGACCTCCTGGTTCGTAGGTCGATGCTCAACCGCTGAGCCACGCCAGCTGGGCTCACCCCCCCGTTTCAGGGATTCCCCGCCCTTCTCTGAGGCAGGGAGCGGGAGTCCAGTCTGGGCCTGAGTGCCGCGTGCCCCTGTCCTCAGCGAGCAGAGTGAGGAAGGTGAGAAAAGCAAGAGGAAGCGGAGGAAGGTGACAAAGGGGCAAGGAGGAGCCTCGTCCTCGGACGAGGGCAGCGATTCCAGCAGCAGCTCGTCAGAGTCCGAGATGTCCTCGGAGTCGGAGGAGGAACAGGTGGCACCTGCGTCCTGGAGGAAAAAGACAGTGAGTGCCGCGGGGCGGGGGGGGGCTCAGGGGCAGGACCCTCCTGTCCCCGGGACTCCCCCCTATACCCATACCCCATTTCCTCTTTCAGCCGCCCAGCAGCAAAAGCACCCCTGCAGCCAAGGAGGTCTCCCTGCTGGACCTTGAGGACTGTGAGTGTGGGCGGTGGAGCTCATGGGGAAGGGGGCCTGGGGAGTGAGACTTAGGAAGGCCCGTGGGAGCTCTGGATTGGGGTCCCCAGGGCTTGGGGGAGCAGACAGAACATGTCTCCAAACCTGAGGGGGCACCAGGTGCGGGGTTGGGGTCAAGGTGGTTGGAGCCACCAGGCTGACACGTGCCCCGCTGTCCGTGGTGCTGAAGGTTCTGGTCCCTGAGCCCTGCTCCTGTCAGGCCAGGCCCCACGTTGCCTCCCTCCCATCAGAGTCTCCCTCATCTGCTCCCACAGTCACCCCTCCCAGCGTCCAGCCTGTCTCCCCCCCCACGGTTGTGTCCAGCAGTCTGGCTGCAGATCTGGAGGGCCTGACGCTCACCGACTCCCCGCTGGTGCCCTCAGTGAGTAGGATTGGACGGACACAGCCCGGTGCTGCGTCCCTGGGTGTGAATGTGTGTGTGGGGGGCCATGATGGAGGGGAAGGCTCTGAGTCCCTGTCGCTGGGTGACCCCCGGTGGGGACAGGGCTGAGGCAGGCTTCTTCTTGCTGACTTCCACACTCCCCCTGGTCTCCCTTCCCTCTAGCTGCTGAGCCCGGTGTCCGGGGTCGGGAGGCAGGAGCTCCTGCACCGCGTGGCGGGCGAGGGGCTGGCTGTGGACTACGCCTTCAGCCGCCGACCTTTCCCCGGGGACCCCCACATGGTGTCTCTGCACATCCACTTCTCCAACAACTCTGAGGCTCCCATCAAGGGCCTGCACGTGGGCACCTCCAAACTGCCTGCTGGCATCAGCATCCAGGAATTTCCTGAAATCGGTAGGGCTCCTGGGCAGACTCAAGCCTTTTTGAAAAAAAAAAAATTTTTTTTTTTTTCTGATTTCAGGGAGAGGAAGGGAGAGGGAGAGAGAGAAACATCAATGATGAGAGTCATGGATCGGCTGCCTCCTGCTCGCCCCCTGCTGGGGATCAAGGAGCCCGCAACCCAGGCATGTGCCCTGACCGGGAATCGAACTGTGACCTCCTGGATCCTAGGTCAATGCTCAACCACTGAGCCGCGCCGGTCGGGTTGGCTCAGGCTTTCTGTGGCTGCCAGTGCCTTCTCTGTGCCAGGCCAGGGCCCATGCTTTGGGGGCTCAGAGAGGGCATCCAGCATGATCCGTGCCCTGGTGGACAAGACAGACTAGGAAATGAGCGAGTTCTGATCAAGGCAGGGGGTGCTTGAGGCTTGGCTGTGTTGAGACTGACTTAAGTGGGTGAGAGTGGAGAGGGCGGAGGGTGGAGGGATTGTGTTTAGATTTCAGGAGAAAACCAGGAATAGTCTCCAGGGGCCCAGGAAGCTGGGAGTGGTCAGCTGTATCCATGGAGGGTGGAATGGGTCTGGGACCCAGACCTGTCAGGTGATGGTATCTCTCTCTCCCCGCCTCCCCCGGCTCACCCCACTGCAGAGTCCTTGGCACCCGGAGAGTCTGCCACTGCTGTCATGGGCATTAACTTCTGTGACTCAACCCAGGCAGCCAACTTCCAGCTGTGGTGTGTGCCCATCTCGTGGTGGGGTGGGTGGGAAGGTGGGGCTGGGAGAGCTGGGGTCACAGAGAAGTGGAGCTGGAGCGGGTGGCAGGCGGGGGGCACGCCACGATGCGGCGGGTCTGGAAA